GGAGAGAAATGGAGAGATAGGCTTAAAGTATTTTCCATTTCATCAAAGAACATATATTACTTTACTGGTTCACTAAAATGTTGGTTTTATGCCCACCCCTTTTCAATCTGCCCATGTCTGAGATGCACAGTGCAGGCGTAGAATCATGAGTAGCCTACGACACTCAGTGAGCACTAGGTGCCTCTGCATGCTCTAGCAACATACTGCTCAGCTGAAGGGAAGGGATTCTCGCTGTCTCTCTCTCTGCTCTAAGCATCACCTAACAAGCAAACCGAACAAAGAATGGGAAATAAAGCTATCCTTAGCCGGTCAGTGAATGAATTTCTCTATGGAGTAAAGGTTGTGCCGGTCAATGGTCGTTTCCAATGATGGACATTAACCAGATTGTCAAATCCTGTGGAGTCGTTAGGAAAGAGTTTGGAGTTTTTTTCACGGCACAATATTAACCGCAGAGAAAAGGACAGAGGGAGAAGGAGAAGATCAAGCTCATGCACATAGTTCTGAAACTTGCAGGTCCTAGAAGTCAGCTAAAAAGCTAGCTGGACAACCCTTCAGCTCTTTGAGCAGAAGCAAAGTAAGACATTGTGAGCTTGCCAGCTTTGCACAACATTGAAAGGGACTGAATTTGTAGCACAGAGGGGTCTTTTTTAGCTCTGCATATAATTAGTCCAAACACAAAGGAAGCAACTGAATGGAGGTTGTCACTCTCTGGAAAAGGGTGGGTAAGACACTTTTTAATTAAATTCTTTCATGAAGAAAGATTTCTTTTCTTTGTTGCAGCATTTAACATGAACATAATCACTATCCTTTTACCTTTGAATGCCTGTGAACTTTAATGCTGCACAGCCTCTGCATGCTGTAAAGTGAAATGTTTGGCTCTGTGTCTTTTTTTTTCCCCTTTAAATAAAATATGATGTAGAATTTGAAAAAGATTCAATGGACATTCTCAAGCCTATTTGGAAATATTCTTGCTAATGGATTTCCTTCTTATTGGTCTCTGTTTAAACTGGCTGCTGAGGAAGCCCCCAGGGTTGATATTGTGTACGCTGGGTATCTTTTTTAAAATGCTTCCAGCCGTGAATAGTGGGTGTCCACAGCTATGTCGGTGTGAGGGCAGGCTTTTGTACTGTGAATCATTGAATCTTACAGAGATGCCTCGCAACCTGTCGGGCATGATGGGCTTGTCTCTGCGGTACAACAGCCTTTCAGAGCTGCATGATGGACAGTTCACAGGGTTAATGCAGCTCACGTGGCTCTATCTGGATCACAATCACATTTGCTCAGTGGAGGGGAATGCCTTTCAAAAATTGCGGAGAGTTAAAGAACTCACCCTGAGTTCCAACAAAATCACCCAACTGCCCAACACCACTTTCCGACCCATGCCAAACTTGCGCAGTGTGGATTTATCATATAATAACCTGCAGTCTTTGGAACCAGACCTGTTTCACGGACTGAGAAAGCTAACAACTTTGCACATGCGGTCAAACGCCATCAAGTTTGTGCCAGTGAGAATTTTCCAGGACTGTCGCAGTCTGAAGTTTCTAGACATAGGATACAATCAGTTGAAAAGCCTGGCTCGAAACTCTTTTGCAGGCTTGTTTAAACTCACTGAACTGCACCTCGAGCACAATGATTTGGTGAAGGTGAATTTTGCCCACTTTCCAAGGCTCATTTCACTGCATTCTCTCTGCCTCCGAAGGAATAAAGTCACTATAGTAGTTAATACCTTGGACTGGATATGGAAACTCGAGAAAATGGATCTCTCTGGCAATGAGATTGAATACATGGAGCCTCATGTTTTCGAAAGTGTACCTCACCTCCAATCACTGCAGCTGGACTCCAACCGGCTAACCTACATCGACCCGAGAATCCTCAACTCCTGGAAATCACTCACTAGCATCAGCCTTTCTGCAAACACCTGGGATTGCAGCCGCAACGTTTGCGCCTTGGCCTCCTGGCTGAGCAACTTTAAGGGGCGCTACGACAGCAACCTGCTCTGTGCCACCCCCGAGTATGCACAGGGCGAGGATGTTTTAGATGCAGTATATGCTTTTCACTTGTGCGAAGACGCAGCAGACCCAACAAGTGTTAACACCTTCTCGGCAGTAACAAACAACAGTGACCAAGTGCTGAGTTATAGCCCTGCCACGACAATATACGACGTGCAGGATACCGAAGGAGAAAGAACGACAGATGCCATAACCGTAACTATGCCCAGTGAAAACACTGAGAATGCTGTGCAGATTCACAAGGTGGTGACAGGGACCATGGCGCTGATTTTCTCTTTTCTCATAGTGGTTTTAGTGTTGTACGTGTCATGGAAGTGTTTCCCAGCCAGCCTAAGGCAACTAAGACAGTGCTTTGTGACACAGCGCAGAAAGCAGAAGCAGAAACAGACCATGCATCAAATGGCTGCCATGTCGGCCCAGGAGTATTATGTTGATTACAAACCCAACCACATTGAAGGAGCCCTGGTGATCATTAATGAATATGGATCTTGTTCCTGTCACCAGCAGCCAGCAAGGGAATGCGAGGTGTGATTTTCATTGGGGATCTAAACAGTGTGCAACCAAATAACAATGGGCAGAGAGACAGTTGGATGGGGGGTTTAATGTGCTTTTCTGATGATTTCTGATGCACTTCTTTGCTGAAATTGTACAAGGATCTGTCTAAAAAGACTTGATATTTTAGCTTTATTGTGTCTTAAAAATCTTCAGGACAGTCAATCTTGAAATTTCATATGGTAATTCTCCCTTTGAAGATCTGTCAATATTCAGGAATCTGAGAGTGTAAAAAAAAGGTACCAATTATTGATTTTTGTAAACTAAAAAACAAAAACAAAAACAAAAACAAAAAACAAACAAACCTGTTTAAAATAAAAAAAAATAGCATTTACAGTTTTTACAGACTGGTGTATATTACGTGAATTGCTCCCTGTATACAAAATGCAACAGTTTAACCTCTCTCCTCTTCGTATACAGTGTTGAAATGGGAAGGCTAGCAGCAAGGAAGCCACATAAAACAGAGCGAGTAACATTCACCAGCTGACTTCACATTGTAATTATGACACATTCACTTATATCATGATGCTGAAGATTAAAAAAAAAAAAAAAAAGCATGACACTGAAATTATATTTTTGTCAAATGCGCTACCTGTGACTGTGTATCACTAGAAGAAGGGGCCGATGCCCCTGAGAAAGGCTGAAGTCCCAACCGTGTCACTAGGGTAATATTTCTGAGGATTTTTAAAGACAGCTCACTTGGAAGTTGCTTTGAGAACCACAAAAATGCAGCATAGCTCATTAGTACGTTCCGTATCTAAATAAACCACATTGCAGTCTCCTAAAAATATATATATGTACTGAAACACTGCCTAAAAAAAAAAGTGCTACTTTATCATTTTCCTTGCAAAGAAATGTTTTAAGGGCTTTATTCTAAATCTCCTAGCATTTCCCACTTCCCTGCTCTTGTGCAATATGCTAAAAGCAAAGAACCCATTGTTGTGTGCACTGTAGAGCAGTGATGAAAGGACTGAGGAGGCAGCCATCCAATTTTCAGTAGTGAAAGCTCTGTGTGTTTCAAGAGTAAAATCTTGGGTGTAATACTGCAGCCACCTTAGGCAGAGGGAGATTAGAGCAGACTTGTGGTACCATAGCAAAGTTAGAAAATCCTGTTCTTGCTGTGAATGCCTAGCCTGTCATTCACATCCATTGCAGGGCATCTTTCACAAACAACCTCTCCTCCAAAAATATGTGCAGAGGGGGGAAAAAAAAAAAGTATATGATCCCTCCCCCACTAATTCTTGGCACGGACAGTACTGATAAGCACATACTTGTTTGTGCAGAGTCCCACTGCTGTTTTATTTTACTGCCCTTCTCTAAATGCTTGCTTTTCCTGTATTTGAGATTTTTCACGCCAGTATGTGACCAACCTACTGATTGCTCTTTAGAACAACTCCACTCGTGTCAATGAAAATGAGGCTGTTATGTTTTTTCTAGCATCCAGCAGTGCATCTTCTGAAATTTCCTTTATATAGCATACCATTCTAATAAACTGTTACACGTGAAGGATTTTGTAAAATTTATATACTTTGTACATATTTCTTCATGCTGGGCTTACCATCAACATCAGAAAATGCCCCAGAAGAAGCACATTCTTATATGGCAATTTAGGTGTTAAAAATGGGGTAGAGGTAGCATCACCCTTAACAGGCTAAACCACGCCTGTAAATGTAGACCAAGCATGAATCAATCCGTGTTGTTCGTGTTTGGAAAAAGTAGTTGATTATACCATCATCTTCATCTTAGCTAATCATTTCATAAATGATTTTTTTCTGTGTCAGATGAGCACCTCTTTGAGACAGCTCAAACTTACTTTTTTTTCTCCCTCTACTTGGGAAAATTTCACACTAAAAAAATCCACATCTCACACGAATGATATACAGGATGCTGTCATGTTGTAAGCACATTTTTTGATTTAGGGAGACTGCTCTTAGTGAAACCCAAGATATTCTGCATTGGCACAGGATTTTGGTTTTGTTGTGGGTTTTTTCTTTTTTGTCTTTACTGCAAATTTTAAACCTAACATGCAATACTTCTATTTTGAGGCATTTATAATCTGCCCACTGTTTCAATATTTGCTAACATCATTATAGCTAGTTTGTGACTCCTCGGTGTGTGCAAAAGTGCATTTCTCTTTCTGTGCCATGACGTGTCAAACCGGATCCTTTCACCACGGTAGCCAATGGCAAAACTCCCATTGACACCAGTGGCTCGGTATACATAAATGAGTCCAGCAGTGATGGTAACAGGAAAGCATCCCTTGCTTGTTGTCAAGTTTGCTCATTTTAAGAGGATATACTCCCTCAGAGTTAATTCAAGGCCACAATTTATATTCTTTACTCATGAAAACCACTGAGCGCAATGTGGGGTTTCCTAGGGAAGGGCTGAAGCATCTGGCTCTCAAACTTTGAACACTGCCACACATTCCTCAAATCCAAATGTAGCACCGTCATCCCACATACAGAGATCGGTTTAAACCAGTTACTGGAATGTGTCAAAGACTACACCAAGAATGCTAAGTGCTATCTATGTATGTAAAAACACATTCGACTGACTTGGCTTCCTCAGTGATCCCTGTTGCTATAAAAAAAGTGTTGGTATAATCATTTTTTTTTCTCCAGAGTTCATTTATGTGCTTGCTGTTTTGATCCCTGTAAAACCTATTGGAAAACGGTTGCAGACAAACATACATCCCGTGGTTGTATTTCTCTGTATTTTTAGCATGCGTGTCTGCTGCGTTTTCTTGCACACAAGTGACTGCACACTCCTCCAGAATTATTCAGGCTGTCTGTTGGTGTTAGCAGTATCCAATGAGGTTTTGAGAGACTTGAACAATTCCACCTTCGTGATTTATTCACCTTGCAGTTGCTTCATGCATCTTGCATTGACAGTTTAAGCAAACTAAAACCAGCAAATCTGAGTGTTAAAAGGTGCAGCACTTTTACAGCAAGAGTTAATCTCATTATTTACTGCTGCCATTTCCCCTAAAGAAGAGTAGTGACTACCAATGACTTGCTTCTCATAGCAGCATGATGGATGGTCTCACTATACGCAGGATGGCATTTATTAAACTTTCAAATATTGAAAAAGACCAACTTTACAAACTATCCCTTTCTAGAAAGACAAATGAGAGTCATACAATCACGAGACAAGTATGTCAGGCTCCCCAAAGGACACCTGTGTATATCCTTTCAGGGTTCCTACTAACTGCTATTATGGCCCCTTGCCATCACAGTGACGCTGTACCACACCACGGTGGTATTCTACAGACGGCTCACATTTGTTATGAAACTTAATGTGAGAAACACATGAATATTTCAATTGCAAAGACAAAGCATTTATTGTACTTCAATCCAGCTAACATCAATCCAGCTATTTCCATCCTGCTTCCAGGCAGCTTGCATTGGTGTGTTTCCACACTACTACATTTATAGCATACATACAGCAATTGCAGGAAAAAAAGCTCTTAACTCGTCTTCATACCTTTCAGGTATCAGATTTACCTAACTGTCCAGAAAGATGCCAGTGTTTCAACTGTGGGCCCCTTTTCTGAAATTGCTGACATGGCTATAAAAATATACTCCTGGGATAACTTTGACACACACTTTCTTATTTGGTAGATACTTTGGGGGAGGTCAAAGGGTTATAAATGCCCTTTTTATCTTCCACTCAGTAAAACTCAATCTCCCTTTGAACACCCAGGGAATTAGCAAAAGCTATTCTTTTCTGCATTTTCAACTAGAAGGCATGGTGGATGGCAAGCATGAAAACTACCTTTTATGAGGATTGTTAATACACAATCAGTGTTATGGATCCTTAATATAAAGTCTCTTGCTCCTAACATCAATGCACACTCACAGTGGACCCAGTAATGAAGGGACTGTTGCTGTGTATGCTCTGAATGTATATGAGGGATGAATTATTTTTCTTCCCCCCTCTTTATTCCTGTACTACTGCAAAAAAGTGATATGAAATCAGAGAATCCATGCTACTGTACTATATTCTGTTTTTGAGCTGAATATATAAATACAAAGAAATTCTGTCTTAAAACTGTAAACTCCATCCTTTACCCATTGAGCTTATTTACTGCAGGGGTCTATACAAAGTGGGTGATCTGTTATACCATATGTGCACCAAAATTTAGGCACTCAGCTTTAAAGTGATGATGAGACCCCAGATAGTACTCTCAATTTTCTTGCTTATGTCTGTTAAGGAAAGGTCATTAATGATACCTGAGCATACTATGTACAGTTTAATGCGTCTTGTAACATTTTATGGTCAGGGTACTGAGGGACCTTGAAATGCATATATTGGATCATTTTCTTCAGTTCTGATAAAAAAAAAAGCTTAGCATTTGCTTTCCAGATGTACTAAATTTGTTTCTTTTCCTTTTTTTCCCCTGGTCTCATTTTACTTTGGTAGCAAAAGGATTTACTGAATTAAGAAAAAGAACAGTTATATCAGATGGCATTCAGAAAAGCAAATGGGAAGCAGTATTTAATTAGCAAGCTTATTGCTAGTGCTAAAATGTATTCAAATTAAAAAAAAAGAAGAAGAAGGAGGAAATGAGGGAAAGGAGAAATAGACAAGACAAGGGGGAAAAAGACTGAAGTAAGGACTAAATCAGGTTAAAAGAAAACATGAAAAAGCAGGACTAGCAATGAATAATCCAAGGCTGAGGTGGGTGGATAAAGGAGAGTTATGCAGAACATGTCAGCAGAGATGAGAGGGCTCGGCTAAAAGAGGGTAGTATGGAAAACGTAGATTTCCTGTACAGCAGGATAGAAAGGAAGACTGGGGGGACATAATGAAAGGAAAGAGAAGACTAGGTGGGAAAGCAGAGAGGCTAAACAGGCATACAAGGTGAGTCAGATTTTTTTGCCCAATGGTTTCACATTTTGTGTTAAAGTCATGGCAGGCCAAACACAGGGATTCCAAGACTGTCCCCCAGGGACACACGCTGTATTATACACCCACCCACACGCATGTTCTTATATGTGTGTCCCATTTTTAGGGAGTCCAAACCAAGAAATATAACACTATTGCCTTTCTAGAACTGTGGTACCTGACTTCCATCATCATGAACCTCCTGGATCTTTGTTGGTTGGACTTCTTAGCTGTAGAGAACATCTAGACATTGAAATATTCATACCCCAAACAGTTTGTTTTCCCAGCACTTAAAACATCCTCATATTTGCAGGTAAGATTCAACAGTTCTTGGATGAACTGTATGCAGTATCTCTCACGTTCAGCAGCTGTGGTCACAACTATTACTACAAACATACTAGTTATTTTCCTGTGTATTGTTATCCATTGCTCTTTTAAGATTCTTGACCCCTCCAGACCCGCCTAGTGTCAACAGGTTTACCATCTCATTATTCTGGACATTCATGCATACCTTCCCAAGCCTGAATGTGGTTGGCAGTGGGGGAAATGCCAGTACTCTAAAAGGTTAACCTTTCAGACATGCAACACAATCACTCAGCTCTTAAAAGCAGCCATCTGGAGTATTCATTAAATAAAAATCAACCAATCCAAACCCTGCAAAGACCCATGTGGACTATCCATCAGACTTTGCTACAGCAGAAAGACATGATAAAGGAAATGGGGTGAGTGTTGTGCATTTCTCAAGTTGTCAAGAAAAATAAAATAAAAAGAGGATGCCCACAAAAAATAATGAAACAAAGCTACAATCTAGTTTGTGCTGGCAAGACCACAACTGTAATTGGGTGGGTGGCTGTGAGGATCCCAACTGAATGCTGAGGAGCACTGTAATTTTATTGCAACGTGTCTGCTTTCCAGTGAATGTGTTTGCGGGGAAATCTATATTACTCTGCAAGCAAGGCATTTCATTATTATTATTATTATAAAGATAATGCAACTTGCTGGCATTCAGACACAATTAATTAGTCCTTAGACCAATTGCTTTTCTTATGTTCCCTCTGCAGTCCTGATCATTCCTATCACTGTAATTTCAAAGTCAAGAAGAAAGTGGGAAAACAACATGGTGGGGAGGGATATACTTGAATGCAACACATTGCCATGAATGGATTCTGAGTCCAAATGTGTAGCAGCTATGCATAAGAGAGGTAAAGAACCAACGTTTACTTTACAGAAATATATGTGAGTCTCAGTGCTTCTGGAAAAGAGGGATGACTGGCAGTGGTCCAAGCTAGGACTACTGTCCAGATCCTAGCCATGCAAAGCAGGTAGCACCAAGGCAGGTGTAGGGCTATGCAGTTGTGACCGTTTCCATCTGCCACATAAATCAAGAGATGAATCCCAGAAACTGAAAGTGGCAGGTGAGTACCAAGCTGCAGTGTTATCTAGTCTCCATCTTTAAAGCAGATGATTTTATCTTATGATTGGGTGGCATCATTAGTCGTACAACCTGTATCTCCAACTGCTACACTTTTTGCTCTGCTCCTCTCACGGCATGTCATTCTCCTTTCTAGTAACTGCTAGTAGCTATTGCAGCACTTTAATAAAGGACCTCATCTTGTTTGTTGAATAACGTCTCTGA